AGTTAATCCCTGTCAATTAAGTTGTGGGTGCTTTCAATTCGACCAAAACTTCCGGTTTGCATTTCCAGAAATTTCCAGTGGCGAATGGAACAACATTTTTTAGAATTTCCAGAGAAGAGTACAACCTCACGAGCTTTACCGAAATTTTGCAAAAGTATCAACCAGGAATTTCTATTTCATGTGATATTCCTAGCGGAATTTCCAGAATTTTCGATTGAATGATTTCGCACCATTTGACCATAGTTAACTATGATTTGACCCTGTTTTGAAAGTTTCGGAGTTTTTGGTTGAATGGACGTCTCTCTGTGCCTTCTCTGCATGGCTGCATTTCCAAAACTAAAAACAGCAAACTTATTGATATGTTAATTTATTTAATGGCAAACATAGAAACGTCCTCAGTTGAACAAGAATACCTGTCAAAAAACACACGACGATAAAACAATGAGAAATCTTTTTTTTAGGTTCTTTCGCAGAACATATGAATGGTTTGAACTCAACTGTATCTGAGTTAGGCAGATCTGCATTTGGTGAACAAAAGAAACTAAAAGTTTTCTCCGTATCTTGTTCATGTGATATTGTTTGGTTTTACGAGACATTGAGATTCCTACCGCCGTTCAGAACACTGCCCGCTTGCCTTAAGGCAGGATAGAGTTTAAATCTACATTCCTCACCCCAAGTGTCAGGGAATTGTTGACTTTCGTCGTGAAAAAAGAATTCGAGAAACATGCACGAGAAAAATAACTTCACAACATTCGTTTACATTTATAACTTCCTTAAAATTTATCAGACAAAATGTCAAAGAAAAATAAGGGATTATATGTTATTTTGTCTTCAATCGGTAGACATGAAATTTACATGACCTCTAATTGGTTGAAAAGCATTTGGGCATGACAGGGTCCATTTTACCCAAATCTCGCTCAGACTTCGGCCTTGCCGAGATCAAATTTAGCTTTCGAAAAAAAGAAGACCAACAAAAAAAACCTAGCTTGAAATAACTAAGAAGATATTTGAGGTTACACATGTCATGAGATCGTGGCTACAGCTTTAGTGCTGTTTCTTACTCCAAGAACACAGACAAAAGGGAAAAACTGACAAAAGTTCAAATGAGGCCTGACAACGATTACAGACAAAAAGCTTTTCCAAAAACTGATGGCTTTGTTTTGCAAAGGAAACACACTGATGATTTTACAACATGTCAGTTTTTTAAGGTAAAGCTAAGATTATTCCACTGAATCTGAATGATATGCTTACTTGCTAGTTAAATTGATTGGGAAAAAGTTTAATTTTACATTCAAGTGATAAATATTGCTCGTGCAGTCAACTGTAAAACATACGTTTAGATAACGGGTGCAGTTCATACCCAAAGTGTGCTCGATATTAATTCTATATCAGGGAACTTTTCAAGCTTTATGCAATTCCTCTAATACAAAAACTTCTATTAAATGTTTTCAAACATCAAAGTATTTGAAGCCTCGTAAATATTCGTTCATTACTCACTCCTTGTATCGTTTATTAGCGCAGGCTCCTGACTGAACAAACAACGGCAGCTGCCGATCCAGCTACTACTGCTGCTCCAGTAACGGCAGCCGCATTGCTAAGGAGATTTAAAAGAGCTGCAGAAGCCTGTGCTGAATGTTTAATTCCCATCTTCATATAAGTGGCAAAGGTTTCGCAGTTGTTTCTGATCAGATCGTACCCTGGCCAATAGCTATGTTGGTC